GTTCCATGCCCAAAAAAACCTATACAGGCATGGAATGATTGGGTATGCAAGGTGTTTGTTGGTCAATTTCATGCTCTTCATGGACCTTTGGGGTGAAAGGATCGTCAAAGACCGAGACTGCGTAGCATTGACGACTCCAGCTGCATGTTCCAAAAGCTCTGTGGCTACCAACCCTATTTGATCTGCCAACTCTTTTGATGTCGAAGTTAGTCTGACTATTGGTTGAGTCTGGAAATGAAAGGACTGAACTTTTGTTCATCAATGCTTTCTCCTCCCAAGGGGCCCCTTTGAAGGGTCATCCACCATTCGATCATCGTGTGACCTCGGCAGGGCTACGCGCGGCTGAACAGGGCCGGGGTGACTGCAGCCACGTTGCAGGGAATTCCCTCCAAGAACTGGTGACTTGTCGACATGACGAAATGGCAAAACAGGTCAAACACCTGCCTGGTAAATCAGTCAGAACCTTCTTTGAGAAGATCGATGAGAGAAAGCTGAGGTGAAGTTACGGCGAACCACTGTTACAGGGATTTTGAGCGTTTTGATCCACAGTCACCTGTGGTTGGGATGGTCCAACTTTCTGCAGGAACCAAAAATGCGGAACACAGGACTGGAATGGAGGCTTTTCGTCAAATCCGAGTTTCAACTCGTGTTACATCCGAGTTCAGCGAATTCGTGGAAGTGTTTGGAATCACCTCGCCTCAACCGACAGCTTGGAAAGGTCCAGCTTTCCCTTTACTCATTGCCTTCAAGATCTGACGTCCTTTGCAGTTTTCTTTTGTGGTCTTGGTCGCTGGACCAATCGCTGGAGATACTCAGACTCTGGTCCAGTGAGAGGAGCCGAAATCAAAATGCCTCCAAAAGCTGAAATTGATGCAAGCCACCAGAGCTTCTGAAAGAAATCCCCAAAGGCCATGATGTTCCTGCTTCTGCCAAAGTGTGAAGGAAGCAATTGCATGCTGAAGCCTTTGATCACGATTATCATGGCTGTACTTGCATAGAGGTACCTTCCAACATTCGACGCCCAGCTCGCCCGCTTTGAGGTCCAGATTTTTGGAGAACCTCAAATTTGATGAGCGCTTGGACTCTTGACATACTTTTTAGGAGTGAACAGGGCAGAAAAAAGGAGGACGCCAGGGCGAACAGGACGAACAGGGCGAACTGTGGGCTCGTCCTTTTGGCCCAGCGCTCTTTCTGCCGAGTCAGTGGAGCCCACGACCCTCCCCACCCACCCTAAAAAGCCTCTCAATCGGCAGAATCTTTTTGTAACCAGTTTACTTATTGTTTCTACTAGCTTCTTGTTCCTAGTAGTAAGGCACTTGTTACTAGAAGCGATGCACTTGCTCCTAGTAGCGAACATTGTTTCTTTTAAAGGCCTTTTACATCCTTTTACTCTTTGGTGAATTGATCTGAGCAAGTCCACCCCTCGACCCGCCGTCCTCGTATCGCCCTCGAACCGAGGAGTTCAACGAGGGCGACATCGGCCTCGCCGGTGGCATACAGGTCACGGAGCCGGCCAACGCCAACCCCGTCACCGAGGCACCGTGGAGAAACCTGCGGGTTTTGGCCAACTTTTGGGTCGCTGGAGAAGGCGTGTGAATGGGTTTCTGGGCAAGGTGTTCGTGAGATTTATTTTGCCTTTTTGGATGGTTTTCTTGGTTGGTAGGGAGTTGTTAGTTCTTTTTGTGGCGAAAGGGCCACAGATTTTGGAACTCTGTTCTTACTTTTTTCCCAGGAGTGTTGCGAAGGGTTCTTCTGCAGAAAGGGTTTGCGTGACAGATCGGTATCAAAATATAGTTGAGAGTTATACATATATATAATATATATATATATATACAGCTGCATGTGTAGGTATGCTACAAGTACATTTGCAGCTTGCGTGCG